GCTCCGCTCACTGCCCGGGCCGGCCGTGGGGCTCCCTGGGTAATGGAGTTCGGGCGGGGGTGGCGCCCATTGGCCAAAGCGGGGCGGGGACTACAGCCCCCATCAGGCATTGCGGTTCCCCTCCTGGCCCGGCCGCGGGACACCCTGGGGAATGGAGTCCAGGCGGGGAGGAGCTCAGCATGAAATGAATAATAGCTCCTAGCAGGCATTGGCGCTACCAAGCCTCAGAGAGAAACCCCGTTGCATCACGGGGATGGGAGTCCATGGGGTGAGGGCAGTTCTTCAATGCACCATGGGAGTAGTAGTCCTCTCTGGCCTGCAGGAAGGGGAGAAAACTTCAGCTCCCAGAAGGCATGTCTCCACTTGGAGAGACTCCCTGCAGCCTGGCATAGGTGGCCCCAGCTCCTCTCTTCCTGTCGCATGAAAGAGTTAGATGTAATTACATGACTACGATTCCCAGCAGGCATTGAGGCACGAACGGGAGTCAGGGGAGGGAGGGGCACTGTAACTCGATCCACAGACAATAATGGAGGGGGACTACAGTTCCCAGCAGGCATTGCAGCTGCCAAGTGTGTGTCTCCCCATTTCGCAATACACTGTGGGAGTTGTAGTCCTGTATGGCACTTTGCAGGGGAGAGGACTACAGCCCCCTGAAGGCATTGCCAAGGTTGGAGAGACGCAGTGCATGCTGGGATATGCAGCCCCAGCTCCCTTTCCATCCCCATGCAGCAACGCGAGGTCAGCTCCCAAGAGGCCCCGTATCCGCACAGCTCTGCCCGCCATTCAGGCTCAGCAGCAATGTACCATGGGAAACGCTGTCCTAAATGCTCAGTTCCCTCTCACAATGCCTGGGGGTGGCAATTAGACTACAACTCCCAGCATATATTGGGCTCATCCTGCCCACTCTTAGCCCAGGGCACCATGGGAAATGTAGTTCTGAGACTCTGATCACTACCACCCCATGGGCTGAAGGGGAGAAAAGGTTTCAACTCCCAGGAGGCATTGCGCTGCATAATATTGCAATGCACTGTGGGAAATGTAGTTCTAGGCCAAGCAGCCCCCTGCCACAGATTTTGCAGCAGTTGTCCAGACAGTAGGCATCACACCGATCCATGTGTCATATGTCCCGTACGGCCATTGGGGATTCTCCTTGAGGAGGTCCCACTGAAAGGGGATGGGGCAGCAGGGCCTGCACTCAGTAGCAGAACATCCTTTTACTAGGGTTACCATATTTAAAAAATAAAAAAAGAGGACACTCCCCGGGGCCCTGGCCCCGCCCCTTCCCCACCCCCGGCCCCGCCCCAACTCCGCCCCTTCCCCAAAGTCCCTGCCCTAACTCCCCCTCCTCCCTCCCAGCCACGCGAAAAGGGCTGCCCGAGCGCTACTGGCTTCACAGTTTGCCGGGCAGCCCCCAGACCCTGTGCCCCTGGCCGGTGCTTCCCCAGCGCAGCTGGAGCCCGGGAGGGGAAGTGCCCAGCTGGGGGCGCAGGGTCTGAAGGCTGCCCAGCAAACCATGAAGCCGGTAGCGCTCGGCCTTCGGGCAGCCCCCATGCCTCCGGACCCTGCACCCCCAGCCAGGCACTTCCCCTCCCAGGCTCCAGCTGCTCTGCTCCTCCCCTGACTCTTCGGCTCTGTTTAAGAGCCAAGCTGCCCAAGCGCTACCGGCTTCGGGCAGCTCAGCTCTTAAACAGAGCCAAAGAGTCAGGGGAGGAGCAGAGCAGCCGCGGGAGGGGAAGTGCCTGGCTGGGGGTGCAGGGTCCGGAGGCATGGGGGCTGCCCGAAGGCCGAGCGCTACCGGCTTCGGGCAGTTTGCCGGGGAGCCCCCAGAACCCCTGGCCCCGGGCGGCGCCTCCCCAGCGCCGCGCGCGG